TTGCAGAAGCCGTGATATCACAGCTTTAAAATAGCATAATAGGAGCCTCCGGGTCTTTAATAAAATTCGAGGATTTTACAATTATCATGACGGAAAGTCATGATTTTATTAAAGACACGGAGGCGAGTATTATCCCACCCACCCGCCCTTGGACGGCTTGGATGTGGGGCAAGGTAAGTTACAGACCTCTCCATGGTAAGTTAAATCTTGGTGATATTGAGGCCATCACAGGCATTAGGACATTATCTAATTTGAGACTCATTGTCACGATTGTCCTCAGATCAGTAGTCCCTCTTACTACATCTATGAATTATTGCCACTGTTTAGTCAAATGTGTGGACCTCTATGTATGAAAAACCCATCAGTCCAAGACATTACCATATTTTCTTGTCTCTTCTAGCATGACTGGGTTGAAGGAGCTCTTGGAGTCACATACCTTGTTATGACTCGTTGGTTTATCCGGTTTCCTGTTCCGAGTTTTGAGTTTATTCTTCGGGATACGCAAGAAAGAAAGAGGAAATGGTCATCAATGCTCCGCCTACTATAGGAGAAGGACGACACTGATTGGATGGCCATGTTACTAGGCGGACATTGTCACTATGATGTTATACCTAGTTCAAATGTTTATTTTTCTTCAATAATGTATTCTTTGCTGCTGAGGGTATTAAAGAAAGAGAACAGCATAATACTCGCCTCCGTGTCTTTAATAAAATCATGACTTTCCGTCATGATAATTGTAAAATCCTCGAATTGTCTCAGGTTGTTGTAAACGTGTTTTAGATTTCTAAACCTTGTTTTTTGCCTTCTCTAATTGCTTGATTATTGAGAGTCCTGGCTTACCTGCAGTTAGCAGTGAAACCGCAGCAGCATAATTTATACACCAAAACTGATTCATGAAGCTAAAGTTGTTTTGGTGGCTATAGTGTCTCTTTAATGCTAAGAACTGAAAACATAAGTGGATAGATTTATAGAGATGTCAAAAAATCTCAATTTATGATATTGCAACAAATTGTCTTAAGGAAGTACACAATGTAATACATTAGCAATACTTGTAGCAACATTACAACACTTTTCAATCCAGTTCCTCATTGAGGCCTTTAGGATACAGAGTATTCAATAGATCAGGGCTTCCCAAACTTTTATGGGCCGAGACCCACTTTTCAAAACTGTAATTTTTCGAGACCCACTTGCTTTAAATGCATATTTTAAAACACCATGGCAAACAGCTTTAGAGACATACAATTGGCACACTATAGCAATCTGCTTAAGATGCATACAATTGGCACACCGTGGCAATCAGTTTTAGAGGCATAAAATTGGCACACCATGGAAACCCGCTTTAGATGCATACAATTGGCATACCATGGCAATCCGCTTTAGAGGCATACAATTGGCACACCGTGGCAATCAGTTTTAGAGGCATAAAATTGGCACACCATGTCAATTCGCTTTAGATGCATACCATGGCAATCAGTTTTAGATGCATAAAGTTGGTACATCATGGCAACTTTAGGTGCATAAAATTGGCACACCATGGCAATCAGTTTTAGAGGCTTACAATTGGCACACCATGGCAACCAGCTTTAGAGGCATAAAATTGGAACATCATGGCAATCCGTTTTAGAGGCATACAATTGGAACATCATGGCAGCTTTAAATACATAAACTTGGCACACCATGGCAAACAGTCAGATGCATAAAATTGGCACACCATGGCAATCCGTTTTAAAAGCATAAATTGCCACACCTTGGCATTCAGCGTTAGATGCATAATATTGGCATAACATGGCAGTTTTAGAGGCATAATTCTGGGATAGCATGGCAGTTTTAGAGGCAGAAACTTTGCACATCATGACAATCTGTTTTAGAGACATACAACTGCTTACTCACAGACTCAGAATCAGAAGTGCTGTTGTCCTGCTCTTTCATCCAGGCACCTCATGTTGATTATCCCAGTGGTGCAACTAATGTAGAGGGCCCTGGTGTAAGTATGTTTTCTGGGCCCCCCTCTAGTGCAAGTGTGGCCAAAAGGTAGATCTCCATCTGTCAGAGAACTTCAACAATCCTCTGCCAGCTGGGGATCTACCATTTGCGCATCATTGCAGGGTTATATTTGTGAGCAGTGTTTGAGCTTTTGAATGTAAGCATGTTTTTGTATTAAATATATGTGTGCATGTATGGGTGTATTTGTATATACTGTGGCCATTGGAATGTAGTGGTGTACTTGTTTGTAATGTTTGCGTGTGAATGCATGGGTGTTTGTATGTAGTGTAGGACTTTAAATGCAAATGTGCTTTTTGTGTGCAGTGTTGGTGTTTGAATGAAGGGGTGTTTTGATAATTTTAGTGTTTTAATGCAGGGGTGTGTTTGTATGTAATGTATGCGTTTGATTGCAGTGCGTGTGTAGTGGGTGCAGTGCGTGTGTAGTGGGTGCAGTGTGTGTGTAGTGGATGCAGTGTGTTTATATTGTGTTTATAAAATATACATATACACAATATGTGTTTGAATGTAAGCATGTTTTTTGTATGGAGTATGTGTGCAGTGTATACACATACACACACTGACACAGAGATACACACAATGACACCTAGTTTCCCACACACAGATACAGACACTCATGTACACAGATACACATACACGCAGAGACATGAGGTGAGGGTGACAGTGTGTGGGAGAGGTGAGGGAGTGTGTGTGCTGGTAACAGTGTGGAGGGCAGGGGTAGAAAGGGCTACAGTAGGCAGGCAGGGGTAGAAAGGGTTACAGTGTGGGGGCAGGGGGAGAAGGGGTTATAGTGTGGGGAAGGGGGCAGGAAGAGAAGGGCTCTACAGGGGCAGGAGAGAAGGGGTTGCTGTGCAGGAGGGGGACAGGAGTGAAGGGTTGGTGCAGTAGTGAGGGGAGTGAAGGGCAGGTGGGGCAAAGAGAGAAGGGGTTACAGTGGGGATGGAGGGAGGGAAGGACAGTGGGAGGAGAGAAGGGAGAGCAGAAGCGGGAGAGGGGCAGGGAGCGGAGGGAAGGGCTGCCAGGGCGGAGGCTGCCACAGTGGGTGGTGGGCAGGTGAAGGGGTTACAGAAAGTGTGGGGAGGCAGCAGAGGAGAGAAGGGGTTACAGCGTGCGTGTGGGGCGGTGAGGGGCAGGTGTAAAGGCTAGTACAGGGAGTGAAGGGGTTACATTGTTCTGGGTCCTACCTTTAATAAATTCCCTTTGTGGTCCGTTCCTTGGTGGTCCATAACTCTGGTTCAGCCAGCATATATATATATATATATTTTTTTGTGCTGATTGCCGGGATGGCTCCTGGAGGAAGTTGTCACCACTATCCATTGAGAGAAGTGCTGTCCTTTCAGTTTTCCAAAACATTGGCATTAAGTGATTATCTTTTTTATATACACTGAGTAAATAAGAGCCTGTAAAGGCCCACAACCAACACATATCTCACAATAATCCTATCCATCATCTATCGGGGTAGGGCACCAAGTCTCAGTTGCTAAACTATTTTGTGACACACAGGAACCCTACATAGTATACAACCACGGCTAGCTCTGATCCAAGCACCCATGCTGGCAAAATAGCGCCCGGATCCATAAAGGGATGACAAATCACCACCAGTGTAAAGTTTTGACCGTCCGCACGCGTGGAATATGCCCAAAAAAGTTTCAAAGCAGTTAGGGCTTTGTCTCCCCCGGCCTTTGGGAAGCAATTGGTCCTTTTAGTCTATAGTACATCCCCTCACAGTTAGGAGGGTCTTCTGATTTCCTGCAAAGACCACCAAAGTCATCCAGGACTGAATGAAGGGGTCTTGGTGCAGTGGTCCTGCTATTTTAACCCTGCAATGTAATACATTGTAGTTTTGTATAAACTGAAATGTTTACATTGCAGGGTTAAATACACCTGTAGTGGCTGTTTTCCTGCCAACCACTAGAGGTGTTTTTTCCTCCAGACCACAACTTTGTCCTGGAATCAAGTGCTGCTGATAGGAGCATTTGATTGTAGGAGCCTGGCTCTGTGCTGTGGATGCATTTTCTAATCCAATGCTTCTCTACAACAATCATTGGGCAGGATGACATCTTGAAACAAGGTGAGTTATCTTTATTAAACTTGAATTTCACTGTGCAAAAGGGGGTTGGAGAGTGATCACATAGTTATAACGAAACCTATTATCCTGAAACAACAATTTTTTCCCCCAAAACTGTTACCTTTATGGTGAAACTATAATTCCTAACGAAAATATGTACAATTAATATTTAAAGGAAGCAAACATGGCTGAGATAATTTAATAATGTCTTGTGCTTGTGCACATACGATGGCAAATTATAAAACTTACCAGGATAGGTTAAAGGATCTTAACCTTTATAGCTTGGAGGAAAGACAAGACAGAGGGGATATGATAGAAACATTTAAATACATAAAGGGAATCAACACAGTAAAGAAGGAGACTATATTTAAAAGAAGAAAAACTACCACAACAAGAGGACATAGTCTTAAATTAGAGGGACAAAGGTTTAAAAATAATATCAGGAAGTATTACTTTACTGAGAGGGTAGTGGATGCATGGAATAGCCTTCCAGCTGAAGTGGTAGAGGTTAACACTGTAAAGAAGTTTAAGCATGCGTGGTATATGCATAAGGCTATCCTAACTATACGATAAAGCCAGGGACTAATGAAAGTATTTTAAAAAATTGGGCAGACTAGAATGGTTCTTATCTGCCGTCACATTCTAATTGCCTCATTGCAAAAATCAAATGCACCCAGATTACGTTAATTGAGTGTCTCTTAAAAGAGAATACAAAATAAAGAAAGAATGAGATACTGATCCATAGAGAAAATTCAAAATGATCCTATGTGTGATGGGATGGTCTAATATTGCAACACTGTGTCCTGATGACCTCTAGTGTGAATAGGAATGGATGGTTTTTCAATGGGTATGATATACTGTGGTTAGACTTTTTTACAAACTGAATTATTTCAGGATTAGATTGTATTAACTAATACTGAACATTCCACCACTGATCGGTAGGAACATACAGAAATGATGTTTATTCATAGCATTTTGTTTTCAGTTTCTAATTGTGTGAATAAACTGTGAACATTTGATGGCAATTTTGTATTTCAGAAATGAAGATTCTGGAAGAGGGAAAATATTCAAGGCACGTGCTTCACTGCTGGAGTAAGTAGAGATTTTAAAGGGACACTACAACTTCTGATTCTTTGTAATGCATAATGCAAAAAAAAAAAAAAAGCATAATACATACAAAGATACCACTTGGATTTTGTATATCAATTTGCAGCAAATCGACAGGCTTTACAACTCCTACAAAAAAAGTATTCTTATTTTATTTCATCCTGGAGTTTTAAGATATTGTGTTTTTAAGGAGACAGAAACAAAGTACCTCACTGATCCATTATCCAGGCAGAGAGCATAATGTTTGAGTTTTGGAGTGGCTCTATAAGGAAGGTTAACTACCAACTATCTTTTTTCTAACAAATGTCTCCTGCCTTACCCCAAACCTTGGTAGTGACCTTCAATATTCAATATTGCTCCAAGCTGAATATAGGTTGGCATTGGTTTGTTAGTACGTTAAATTGCATGATTTAAATACAAATATGATGCTAGATTGCATCCTATAAAATGTAACTGTTTTATATATATTTATTATATATTTAGTGGAATCTTGTAAAAAATTTGTAATGCGGAATATTAAAAAGCAACTTTCATTGTTTTGTTAATATTAAAGGATCACTATAGTGTAAGGAAAACAAAGCCGTTTTCCTGACACTATAGTGCCCTGAGGGTGCCCCCACCCTCAGGGTCCCCGTCCCGTGGTGCTGAAGGGGTTAAAACCCATTCAGTTACTACTTTAATCCAGCGCCAGGCTCCCTTGGTGCTGGTGACCTCTCCTCCCCGTCCGACGTCAGCTCCCCCGTCCGACGTCAGTGGGGCCGCATGCGCGGCAAGTGTCCGCACACGCGCATTTAAAGTGTCCATAGGAAAGCTTTTCTCAATGCTTTCCTATGGAAAGCTCTGCACGATGGATGCAAAATTTGCATCCAGCGTTGCAGCTGCGCCTCTAGTGACGGTCCGGAAGACAGCCACAAGAGGCTGGATTAACCCTGCTATGTAAACATACCATTTTCTCTGAAACTGCTATGTTTTCATCTGAAGGGTTAAAACCTGAGGGACTTGGCACCCAGACCACTTCATTGAGCTGAAGTGGTCTGGGTGACTATAGTGTCCTTTAACTTTACGTGAGTCCCTGCTGATTTACAGCACTAAGTATTAACATGCAGTATATAAAGTTGAAGTATCATCAATGTTTAGGATGCTGCCAATACACACAGTATCTGCTTTTATGTCTAATAAGATAATATCTGTTATTTGCTGTTTTATCTCAGTGAACTGATGGAGGTGGAACACTTTCGCACTATTTATCACATGTTTGCGGCAGCATTTTGCGTCTTTGTTATCAGCACCGTGGCTGTGGATTCTATTGACCAGGGCAGGTAAGAGACACATTTCAGAAAGTATTCTTTAAGAGTAATGGGGTGAATAAGGCCAAAATTCTTTAGGACTCTTAAAACTGGGCCCCAAGTCGTGTTCCCAGGAAGGCATGTTTCCCAGATGTTATCGGTTGTTACTCTCTGTGTTGTTCAGTACATGGACAACTAGGTGACACTAACAGGGTTATTTACTAACAGGGTTATCTGAAAGTGAATTTCAGATATAAGGAGAAAGTAGCTGAACTGAAAATATTGCAGGTTTTTTCCAGTTTGGCTATTTTGACCTTAAACATAAAATTCACTTTGAATTCTCACTTTAGTAAAAAGTCTAGCATAAGAAACCCTGTACGAACACCTGTGGCACGGTTATTGGTTAAAGATCTGCCCTGTATATACAGTTTTAATCAAAGTTATTCAACCCTCATAAAAATCAGGTTTATTGTAAAAATGTACAGACTTTCAGTTGTTTGAAATGAGCAGATTAAAACAAAAGCAATTGAAATAGCTCAACCCAAGGAATGATTCAAGTGGATTCCCCAAATTCAACTGAAATTGCAACTTATAATGACTTCTCCAGTCTCAAAATTATTCAACCACTTCACGGCAGGCATCTCTAGTACTTAGTAGAGGAATCTTAGCCCATTGCTCATGACCAATGGCCTCCAGTTCAGTATTATTCGTGGGTTTACGTTCTGCAACAGCCTTCTTCAAATCCCACCTGATATTTTCTATAGTGTTTAAGTCAGATGACTGTGATGGCCACTGTAGAGTTCTTCAGGACTCCTTCTGCAACCTAGCCTTGGTGGAATTTGAGGTATACTTGGGATTATTGTCTTGTTGGAAGGTCCAATGATACTCAAGCTTCAGCTTTCTCACAGATTGCATGGGATTTCCTGATACTTGAATGAATCCATCGTGCCTATCACATGCTGCAGGTTTCCAGTGCCAGGGGCTGCAAAGAAGCCCCAGAGCATCACCTAGCCAATACAATGCTTAACTGTAGGCACAGTGTTCTTTTCAGTGTATGCATAATTCTTCTGCAGATCCATTTGGCCGAAAAGTTCCAGTTTTGTTTCATTTCTTCACAGAACAAAATGCCCCAAATTTTGTCTTGGAGTTCTTGCATGGGAACATTCTGCATTTAATACGCACCTTTCCTCACTGAAACCTGAGTGCCTATTGTCACAAACTCTTGCTGCAGGTCTTTTGCAGTCACTTAAGGGTTTTCACAACCAGGTTGTAGCGATTGATAGCTTCCTTTTTTATGCCCTGTCCAGGTAGAGTAACCACTGTTCTTTCAACTTTGAACTTCCAAAGGTGTAGCTGGGAACATTCAGTGCCTTCTGCTATCTTTTTGTATCATGTTCCATGTTTGTACGAGGGCAATGATCTCTTCTCTAAACTAAGTGGACCATTCTTTTGACCTGGTCATATTTCTAACGTGCAGTCAAACATTACACTCAACAAACCCCTAGCCAGTTCAGGTAGTTACAGCATAGTTCAAGTGGTCCAGTCAAGCACACTTGAGGCAACTAATGAAGCCCTGCTTTGCATATTTGTGCTGGTGTCAGGAATTCTGTTCAGTGGGTTGAATAATTTTGAGACTAGAGAAGTCATTATAAGTTGCATTTTCAGTTGAATTAGGGAAAACCACTTGAAGAATTCACCATGTTGAGCTATTTAATTTGCTTTTGTTTGATTTGTTCATTGCAAACAGCTGAAAGTCTGTAAAGTTTGACAGTAAACCTGATTTTTAATTTGGGTTGGAAAAGTTTGTTTACAACTGTAAATATGTCCTCTGTTCTACAAAATAATGTCCATCATTGTTCAACTGACTTGTGTTTCTTCCTTGCTATGACAGATTTAATTACTTGAGCTATGTAATATCAGGTTTAATCTACATTTCATGTAGTAACGACTAACCAGCATACTCTACTACAAATAAACATTACACACCCATCAAGTGACCTCTGACCTCAGTATGGCAATCGAATGTGGAGTCAGTACTACAAGCTAACATTAAAAGGAAGAAAGATACCACTGTCACATTTACAGCACCTTCTCTTTTACCTCTTATAAATGTGTTTGTTTTTCAAAAATGACAAACTTTTATTGGAACAAAAAATTAAATAATCATGTAGTGCTGAGACTTTGAATACATACAATGAATATACAGTTTAGAGCAGAGGTAATCAACCTGGTCCCTACCAGGCAGTTTGGGATTTAAGGTGGGTGGTAGTGGGTTCTGCAAAAAACGCCTAGTGGGCCTTGAGGGCCGAGGATCAAGACTGGCAGGGGAGATCCTTTCATCTCCCCTGCCGGCCCGTGCAGAGTCAGCCAGCCTGGCGGCAAGCTCTCTCGGTGAGGAGATCAAAGATCCCCCTCACTGGCACTTAGTTCCAACAGAAGGAGGGAAGGGCCTGGGAGGCTGTGTGTTCCTCCCACGAGCAGG